CCAATACCAATAGCTCAGTACTGCATTGAATTTATGACATGATAGTCTAGAATTAGAATTAGAGTGAGTTGGAATTATTTATTTCATGTTGAATATTTTTTCCACTTACTTCTCATGATGTCGCTTTTAATATTCTTAATTTTTAACCACTATTTCCTGTAATTAACTATACACTCAATGACAAATCTTGTGTCAATAACTTTGTGTTGCCATAATAACACTTATAATGCGTAGTAAATGAATACAAAGTTCATAATAGCCTAATATATCAATGGAAGCTTGTATAAAACGATTTTTTAAAACTGCCCTTCAGTTCTTTTTTTGTTGCTCGCAAAAGATGAGGTACATTTCTAAAATTTCAACAGGCTCAGAGCCTCCAACAGTATTTCTACTATAGCTACGTTTAGATCACCAACTAAATACATAATTCCTTCGATCGATCAATAACTGCACTTTGTGCTTTTGACAAAAACATTTTCTTGCAAAAAAATGGTGAGCGAATTTCTTGATAAGCGCTACTTGATGGCTTTGATATGGGAATAAGATACGATGATGAAAGCTATCTAATATGGACATAATTTCAACACTTTCGTATGCTTTTACCGCTAATATCAAGAAAAAACCATTTTCCTCAAAACGAAACACAATCTAAAAGTGCCTAAATACTTATTCTAAAGATAAAAATCGAACGATTCTTAATGAGATAAAGCATTAGACCACACATCGTCTCATAAGAAACTAGAGAGATTTTCAAAGATGTCTAGAAATATATGCTGGCAAGTATATTCGGTAAAGTGTCAAAATGTCGAAAGGAAAATGTAGAAAGTGAAAATGTAGAAAAAAAATGTAGAAAGTGAAAATGTAGAAAGTGAAAATGTAGAAAAAAAAATGTAGAAAAGCAAAATGTCGAAAATTATGAACCCCTGTAAATCCTTGTAAATCCTTGATGAAAAACTTTTTCTAAGATTTGATCAATAGAATGTAATACGGTACACATTCACAGAACACAATGGTGAGGGTGAGGGCGAAATCTGTGACCAAAAAGGATTTAGATTTTCGACAATCTGCTTTCGACATTTTCTCTTTCGACATTTTTCCTTTCGACCTTTAGCCACCTATTCGTATATTCAAGTTATCTGCTTTCGAAAGGATATTTTTTACTTCAGTAGCTCCACATTCAATCAAATAATACTTTTATAATCAGTTTTTCATGTTTGATTGTGAATCTGAAGGCGTGTTGTTGATTCGATCAAACACAGTATAAGTAAGATCTTAATGATTATTCAAAATAGATAGAGATGAGCATCATTCATCAACCTTTGTCATATGGACGCAGTTTTTCCAGACGAAATGAACTATATTTTGACTCTTGTTCGGTCAATAGCTCCATGAAAGATCATGATATAGGATTGAAGATTTCACAATATTCTTGCCACTGCAGTCCCAACATATCCTCAAAATTTTTCTCGATTGCAGTGTTCGTGGCCTGAGACCGATTTTCGAGCGAGGAGGCCTTAAGCAATGACTGCAGTTTGTAGGTGCTGGGTACTTTTCTCAGAATTTCTAATCCTACTCACTCGAAACTCAGCCGGTATCAAGATGAACTGAATCACGTGATGACAGTCATCTATATATACGAGTAATTCTGGTGTGTATTGCACCGTATTTTTACAAAAATGGTTGGAAAAAAAGTAAACGGCTGTGCTTTAAAGTATCACCATCTGATAGAGAATACTTTGAAGTATAAGGAAAAATGTTTTTACCAATTACAAGTTTTTTCTTTTGTCTAATTTGGAGACCGAAAGTTTCCTAGGAACTTATTAAAGGATCTTTTATCTTATTTGAGTGAAAAATGGTGACATTCAAAGATTATTAGGATGTTATAGGTTTCCAAACATTCCCTTTCGGTTTACATACCCAGAAGAAATACAAAAATAATCAATTTTAGAGAAATATTTTTTCAAATTTTCAGTAAGATAGGGGGATGGTACAAATAGAGAATGAGAGCATTTCATTATATTTTTATAATAACTTTCTTCAACAAGGAGTTAAAGCCTTGATATTTACAATATAAGTTGTGCTCACCAACTATTATTTGTGGTAAAGAATTCAGCTTTTAACTCCTTCAAATTTGGTCCAAAGATGGACAAAATGGGTAGGACAACCAAGGAGAAAGGCATACTTTTGTATCTTTGAATTTCTATAGTTAGAAATAAGCGAGAACCTTGGTATTTACAGCATATATTGTGCCCACCGACTAACATTTGTGATAAAAAAATCATCTGTTAACTCTTTGTAGTTTGGTCAGGAGGTTGGCAAAAAGGCGGTAGGACATTTGACTGTATTTTTTTGATTGTTTTCTTCGGGAATGAGTTAGAGATTTGATATTTACAGCATAAAGGAAAAATCTGTCAAGTTGTGGTTTTAAGCAAGCGATAGTGCGCAAAATGATGAATCTTTTTATCTAAAAAAAATTTGATTAAAACTGTTTTTTGACTTTACAGCAGGTTCCAAAGGGAATGGTACATTTTTGTTACTTAATCTGGAATCACTGGTAAAAGTTCAACTTTTCACGAAACGAACATGGCTGAATTGAAAATAAAGTTATGAATAGATAGAGCATTCAAAATGCTGTAAGAAATCTAAGAAGTCGTCTTTTACTTTTTCATTTTTCGGCTACAAAAACCTGAAAAAAGACAAGCGACATGTGAGAAGCCATCAAAAAACACATAGAACACAGGGACAAGCGACTTTGTTTTGAACACAATTCGTAAACGACAATAGATAGAAAGCTGATTTTAGCAACAGAGATAGAACATGAGCAATATATGTTTCGGTATAAGTTTTGATCACTTTGATCAAACAGAAAGTGAAGAATAAAGAGAGCCACTTCTGAAGGTCAAATGGTACAATAGACACCAGAATCACTCATATTTATTCCTAGAAAGCAAAAGTTTCACAAGGTATTTCGAATCTTTTGACACTGGAAAAGGACATTTTGAGGAAAGTAATTATACCATTGCATAGCGCTTGGAGTTCTCTATCAAACTATGTATTTTAATTGTACCTTGCTTTTATCGCCTGAAAAATTAATCAAGTGGAATGAAGACATCCTTATGTTCTGATTCCTACAAACTCGATTTTGTTACTATCATCAAACTTAGTTTTTTAAATATTTCATCACTGTAGAACTACCTTTTTGAAAAAGCAATTATATATTCTGATAGAGCATGAAATTCTCTATCATCCCATATAAATTTGTGTTATCTCACATCAATTCGCTGAAGTATAATTCGAGTATTACATAACAATCCTCCGTGATACTCTAAAAATATATGGATGTCTTATTATCACTTTTCTTTTTATCCCAAGCTTATCATCAGTATAGAAATGACTTTTTAAACATATAGTTATATATTCTAATAGAGCTTGAAATTGTGTGTCAGACTGGCCTCCTAAAGTAAAAAATACACAAGATAGTTAAAAAGTCCAGATTTTAGGGTATCAAGGAAAGTATCCATGTAACACTGAATTTGTTCTTGAGCAAATCAATATAAGATAACACAAATTTACACGAGTTGATAGAGAATTTCAAGCTCTATCAGAATATAGAATTGCTTTTTCAAAAAGATAGTTCTATAGTGATGAAATATTTAAAAAACTAATTTTGATGACAGTGACAATATCGAGTCTGTAGGAATCTAAACATAAGGGTGTCTTCATTTCGCTTGGTTAATTTTTCACGCGATAAAAGCAAGGTACAATCAAAATACATAGTTTGACAGAGAACTCCAAGCGGTATCCACTGGTATCATTACTTTTCTCAAAATGTCCTTTTCAAGGGTCGAACGAGTCGAAAAACCTTGTACAACTTTTGCTTTTCAGAGGCATATTTTTATACATAGTATGGTAACAGTCCTGATGCGAATAGTCCATCCGCGGTGTTTTGACGTGTTACCTAATAGGACTAAAACGAAATTAAAGTCTACTAAACCGGTTTCGTGTTAAAGTTATCCGTAAACATCATGTATAAAGCGTATATTACTTCTAAAACCTTACCTAGGATGCTTTTGCGATGACCTAGAATACTACAGCAATACTGTTTAAATAGAGTGTGAAAATCTAAAGAAATACATGAGTCGAAATGAAAATAATGTAATCTTAAGTCTAAAACGTTGTATTGATCAAGGTTTATAGTGATAGGGTTAACATGTTATTCTTAAGGAGAATTGTTGATGAATAGCCAGTAGTATTCGCATTCTTTGATGCTAATTCTTATTCTGATAGAGAAACACTAGACATCAACGATCGTTCACGGTGAAGTACGACAGAAAAAATGAACGTTCGTTAAAATTTTCACAGCTGCCGTCTAGGATAAGTTACGATTTTGTTTGACCACCGTTAACAGTCGCCGTATTTTCGCGGTAGTCGTAAACGACCACTGTAAACGGCTACTGTTTTTCGCTATATTTGACTGCGGTACCACTGGCCATCACTGACCTAGATGCGTCACTGGTCCAAGAAGGTAGCGGCGATCTAAACGTAGTTAGATGCTCAATGAATAATTGTAGATCCGTCTTAAACCTATTTCATCTTATAGGGCGCATTTGTTTCACGTATACACCAGTTTGATGTTCTTACTGTGTCTGTACGGAACGGTTCATAGCATATCCTGCAAACTACATTAGCTAACGTCTTAAAAAGAACAGAAGAGTACAATCTATGACATCGGTCTCGTGAGAAATCTGTTCTTCTCTGAGACAAACATTTATATAAGAAATCTGGAGTTAGTCGCTACCAGATTGCTTTCGATATAGCACATAGGTGTGGATGTGAATGAAGAGAAGACACACATCTATACCACACCCACAAAAATGAACTTTTCATTGGGTCTGATTAACTGCTATGGCATAAAAAAACTTGCTCAGTATGGAAGATCTCCGTTGCAGAATGCGGAAATTGATAACTTTATCGTTCATTATTAATAAAACATCTGGAAATCAAGTGAATGTTGTGTAACAACATGATGAAGCATTTTCTGATTCAGTATGGTTTAACTTTTCCACAGGAAGATACATGAAATTGTCGTGGAGTATAACTTCTAAATGCTTCGTGTAACTACGAAGCCCGAAGAGAAAATTTTCGTTTGATTGATTAACTGGATTGCTCTGGTGGTCACTGGCTGGGAACACATGTGCAAAATCAATAAGTCGAACGTCAACTTTTGGTATCAACGGAGCACATGATTGATGATATTCACCATCGTAAACTATTAAAAGAGACGTTGCAATAAAAACAAAACCATCAAGATCCTTCATAAAATGTTCCAAAGTGCGAAGACGTTCGAGCACAGCTCGTACCACTGAACGATAATCGTTTTCCGGTGCACCGAAGAAATTAGCAAGAGCGCTGAAGATTTTGTGCCTTTCAATAGAACGAGTACATTGTTTACTATGATAGACATATTTCTTTTCTGTTGGTTGATAAATTTTCCAGCCAAGTAATTGAAAACCAAGATCAATTGCTGCTGAAAAGTTATTTGTTAGTCGTTTTTTCTTTTCCTCACTTGCATCACGATCGTAAGTTACTCGACCAATCTTTACATCAGCAATACAAGGTCGTTGAAACTTTTTAACAATGTTTTCAAGAATAAGGTACTGCATGCCAGCGAATTCGTATGTGCCAAAAAATGTCGGTAAAAATGGGCGAAGGCTTCGTAGTTGTACGAGCGACTCATCTGAAAACACATCAATATAAAATTGATGTTCACGAGGACCCCGTGGTGCACTTATGAATGGTTTGAGTATTAAACCGGTTGACTTCTGTTCTAGAAGACCGTATTTGGATTGCGATTGACCATAGAAATGACCGGCTATTTGATGCTCAAGCGGTTTAGTGTCCGGAGGCAACAGGGGAACAGTTTCAGCATCTGAAGATGGCAATGGTTCCATTTGCATCAACTCAAGTTCTATGTGATTCGACGCAAGCACACGTGGAAATTAACTGTTCTCGAATAAGGCACTCGATCACTCGATAGCTATGCTCTAAAGAATGTAAGAAAAATAACAATAGAACATTTTCAACTGTCGGATGACTATCGAATACATATGAAACACATAAGTAGGATTCAGCCAGACTAGAAGAGACTTAAAATGATCCATTCTATATCTTGGCCACCTAGATGTGACGATTTTAGATAGAAGAAGTGTTAGCGCTGATGAAACTACGCTTTATTATGTTTCTTCATATCCATAACCGCATCGTTTACATACAAAGCATACACTTATATACTCGTCCATCAGACAGAAAAAACGAAGAGAAGGACAAAATGCAACATGATATACGAAGTAATGACAGAAAGATAAGGACAATATATAAGATGAGAAGAAGTAGTAAGAAGAGGAAAATATCATGCATACACTGCATGCTACGGGCATGTTACACCCCCGGATGGAAATTGGACGCTCTCCTGAGCGTCCGAAACAATAACAGAGAAAAAAAAATGCCAGAAAGTAGAGAACAAACAAAAATAGTCGCGTAATACAAAAACTCAGAAACATCGTAAGAAATATCCATTAAACAAGGAAAGGAAAGATAAAATGGAAAAATATATATTAACGAACAACTGTTAAAAATGCAGATGGAGATGTGATGTTGATGAGATGAATCACCGGGCAGCCGAAGGGGAACACTTCCACTGCATTCTGCTCATAAATGGATCTGTCACACATCAGTCCATCGAGGAGGTAAAAAATCACAATAAGATCACAGCAGCACTTGCAAATTTGAATGTTAACATCAGTTATAAGTTAACCATAAGTGGAGTTGTTGTAGAATTGATAGACGTTGATGAAATCGATGAAGAAAATGAATGAAGTGCTGAATAATCGAGTGAGTTGGGCCGTACAGCGCAAGTCGTACAGATGTTATAATTAGGTCGCCAAATGTGACGATTTTAGATAGAAGAAGTGTTAGCGCTGATGAAACTACGCTTTATTATGTTTCTTCATATCCATAACCGCCTCGTTTACATACAAAGCATACACTTATATATTCGTCCATCAGACAGAAGAAAGGAAGAGAAGGACAAAATGCAACATGATGTACGAAGTAATGACAGAAAGATAAGGACAATATATAAGATGAGAAGAAGTGGTAAGAAGAGGAAAATATCATGCATACACTGCATGCTACAGGCATGTTACACTAGAGTTATGAGTTCTTTGCTGTAGTTTTTAGGACATGACTATATATTCGTCAAAAACTGATGTAAAAGATTTCGGCATGAAATTTTGTACATAAACATCGTTCATAACCGTCAGAATAGCAGAAAAATTTCAGCTCAGTCCAATATATATTGATATCGACAATTTGTTGCAGAAGGAACAATTATATCTGATTAGATAATGGCACCACGTGAATTTAGTTTGAACAACGGAAATCTTAAGACGAATACAATCATTGACCCTGAAGTTTTAAGGATATTCTACCGACCATAATATCTGTGCTTGAACGAAATTTTAGACAAAAACCTTATAAATCAGTTAATCGTGACTATCTAATCGGACCCCGAACCCACAGTGAACCGGTGAGAACGCTGAATGGCTGAAGCATTGACAGGAATTCTTTAGGCCTCTCTTTGTCTCCTGAATCCTACTTATGCATCAGTATCAACTTGATCGGCTTCCAAAAGTGGGGTATGCACCTTCGTAAGCTTGACAGCAGAGTTATTTCGGCGCAATCAGACAGTGCTGAACAATTTTGAGGGTGCGTGAGAGTGAATAAGTGGTCCTCACGTATTCACACCATCATCCATTCTTGCACAGCTAACCCCCTATCTCTAAAATCCAGGCAGCTATGCAACCATCGGGGAACCACGTGCTACAACTGTATGATTTAGATCTAGCAGAGATAGGTTGAAAATGCGTCTAACCTTCAGAAATATAACGAGTGACCCATAATAAATGGTTGCGCTTTCCATTTTATTTTTTCATCATGTAAGAAGTTTTATTAAAAAGCAAAATGTACCACAAGAGGCAGCGTGAAAAGCTCTACGATCTACACAGTAAAGCTCATTTTAATTCCATACTTTTTGTTTTCAAAAAACGCAAAATTCTCTGAGACCAACTTTCGTCATTGCGAAAAAATCTTTTTTTCTGCACGAACGAGAATTGCTTTTGTCTTCTTTCATCCTTTTATTGCCTTATATGCTTGCGTAAAACACACAAATACACCACAAGATGCGGCATGGAAAGCTCTACAATCTACAAAGAATAGCTTATCTTATATATGCATTTCTTGTTTTCAAAAAACGCAAAATTCTCTGAGACCAACTTTCGTCATTGCGAAAAAATCATTTTTTCTACACAAACCAGGCATTCCTTTTTTGCTGTTTTCATCTTTTTATCACCTGATATGTCTTCATACTAAAAAGCAAAAAATGCCACTAGATGTAGCGTGAAAAGCTCTACAATTTACACAGTAAAGCTTATTCTAATTGTTTTCAAAAACAGAAAAAGTGTGTGTGACCAATTTTCGCACGGTCGAAATTTGGTCGCTCCAAATTTTGCCAGTTTTCAAAAGCAAAAAAGAGCAACTATGAAATAGTCGGTCTTATATAAATTATAGAGCTTTTCACGCTGCATCTTGTGGTACGTTTTGCTTTTTAATAAAACTTATTACATAATGAAAAAATAAAATGGAAAACGCGACCATTTATTATGGGTCACCCGTTATTTACATGAGCAGTTCTAGACAAACATAGCTTGATGCCAAATTAAAGTCCAGTTAACTGTACAAATTAGAAGTCTTATTCAACTTCTTTTTCAGAATTCTCTATTGAGAAAGAGTATATGAGGAAGTTTTTGATACGTGGGTTCCCGTAACAACTTCGCATGCTGTTCATCGAATTGAAATATCAGAAAAAATGGAGCCCTTCTTGAATTCACTAAAACATATGAAATCAAGAAAACATTAGAAACGAAGCCGAATACGAGCCTATATAATGCTTTTACAACCAAAAAGTAGAAAACAACTCTCTGTCATTGTGTAAAGTGCGAAAATGATGCATACCAAATACAGATATACGTTTTTCATCGGTTGATCCTTTTTTTTTCTCAACATGACGCCGCTGGTCTTCGACTTCATTTTTTGATTTATTTACCAAAAGAACAAGGATAAATTATTCACTCAATGCAGTCTATTTTGTTGTTGATATCATTGAAAATTGTTTGAATATCAATAAATGTAATGATTCTCGACGACTTTTGTTCGTCTGATATCCGAAATATCTACAAATATGTGCTACAAGATGACTAGTTAAAAAAGTGCCATTTGTATATTGTTGATCTCATGTTCAATATTGATAATTCAAACTTTATTTCTAGTTGCATAAATTCCCTGTTGGGTTCCCTATACGAAAATCACCAAGTGTTTTTTGAGAACGTAAAGATACGATCATTGCGACATATTTTGTGTTTAAGCCACAATCCTAAAGGCTATCATACTCAAACAACACCGCAAAACTTTAATATCGACTATTCCTTCATCATTCGATCGAACGAAATCTGAAAAGTTTTGGGCAAAACTATCAGATCAGAATATGGATGTGGGGTGAATGTAGATGTGGCTCTGGGGTGGATATGGGTGTAAGTGTGACTGTGAGTGTGGGTGCGGGCCATTTATATAAGTAACACCCACATTCACATCCCCATCCACTCAGCACCCATACCCACGCACACTCTTCATGTGACATATTCATTATCTTGAGCGTAGTACTTATGAGTATAAGATGAGTTTAACATAACTTGTTCGATCCATTTTTATGCGCCTACTATGAATATAAAATCATTTGTCTTATTTTCGAAGATAATTTATGACTTCTAGAGACGAAAATAATGGTCGCTAACTAGAAAGACGACAGTGCCGTTCAGGCTAATTTGGCTACAGAATTTTTGCGTTAGACAAGATACTGTCGAAAGATATGTCCTAATGAAGCCCTATATCTCGTAAAGAAAGACCTGTAAGTCGGTGTGCATAACTGAAGAAAAGTCCAAAATAACGGTATGCCGAAAAGGAAGGCATAGTGGGAAGCCAGGCGAACATATGCGAAGATATTCTTTTCTAGACTCTAACCGTTCTCATGAACACATACATATATGATCTATCATATCCTAAAATAGCAGTTCTCAAAGTTTTATACAGCCCTAGAAAAGAACCTGACAAGGCTTGGACCCAGAACTCAGCATAAATGAAAAAAATCAAGATGCTCGGCAATATAACATAATAATCCACAAGCAAAAAATATTGCAAAAAACTTGCTCACCTATGGACTTCATAGCAACAAAAATATCGCAATCCAATTAAAATAGAGCAGAAAACAAAGGATCTTGAACTACAAAACCTATCTAAAAAGGTACCGTTCCGCATATTGTACACGTTACAATGAGGTCAGATCCGATCGAGCGCGCATTTTTACTGCATGCTCCTACATATGTATCCTACTTATGGTAGATGCAAAAACTTATGAGATCTTTCCTAGGCTGTTTTACAGAATGCCAAAAACCTCGAGGTCTCTAGTAGGAAATCTGACTTTAGGCACTCGTGTTACATTTTGAAGAAAAACCAAGATGATGCTCAGAACTAGCTTGTCAAGCTGCATTGAATCATATATATTCAATAGTTTTCCAAGAAATGTTCGGCTCACTTTTAGCTGTAAACCGGGTCCAAACTTATTTAGTTCTGTATTTTCGAAATGCTACAAAGAAATAACGTTTGTTCCACCTCAAATTTTTACTAGATGCTCCTACATATATATCCTACTTGTGGTAGATGCGAAAACTCATGGAACCTTTCGTTGGCTATTATACAGGATGTCCAAAAACCCAAGATTTCTAGTCGGAAATCCGGTTTTAGGCACTAATGTCAGAGATGGAACTGATATTAGTAACCGGCCGGT